GATCCATTTGGAATTGACTTTTGTGCAAGGTGAAAGATAGGAGTTTAGCTTCATTCTTCTCCAATTGGAGATCCAGTTTTGCCAGCAACATTGGCTGTACATGCTGTCTTTCCTCCAGTGAATATTCCTGGCCCCTTTGTCAATTATCAGGTGGCTGAAATTGCATATACTCATATTTTGGTCTTCAGTTTTGTTCCATTGATCTGTGGGTCTATTTTTGTGCCAGTACCATGTTTTTTCTATGACTATAGCTCTGTAATACTGCTTAAAATCCAGTTTTGCCAGCAACATTGGCTGTACATGCTGTCTTTCCTCCAGTGAATATTCCTGGCCCCTTTGTCAATTATCAGGTGGCTGAAATTGCATATACTCATATTTTGGTCTTCAGTTTTGTTCCATTGATCTGTGGGTCTATTTTTGTGCCAGTACCATGTTTTTTCTATGACTATAGCTCTGTAATACTGCTTAAAATCTGGTATAGTAATCTCCTCGGCATTGCTCTTATTTAGTGATCAGGGTTGTTTTGTCTATCTGAGGTCTTTTGTGCTTCCATATGAATCTTAGGATTTTTTTTCCGATTCTGTGAAAAATGTCATGGGGATTTTAATTGGCATTGCATTGAATCTATAAATGGCTTTTGGTAGGATGGTCATTTTCACAATATTAATTCTTCCAATCCATGAGCATGGTAGGTCCTTCCATCTTCTGACATCTTTCTCAATCTCTTTCTTTCAAGATTTAAAATTTTCATTGTAGAGCTCTTTAATGTCTTTGGTCAGGTTTATTCCAAGATTCTTTTTTTTTGCAGCTATTGTGAAGGGGAGTATTTTCATGTGCTCTTTCTCTGATTGCTTGTTATTGGTATATAGAAGGGCTACAGACTTTTGTAGGTTAATTTTGTAACCTTCCACTTTACTGAACGTGTTAATAATTTCTGGACGAGATCTTTTAATTTTTTTTTTTGCAGCAGTTGTGAAGGGGAGTGTTTCAATGTGTTCTTTCTCTGATTGCTTGTTATTGGTATATAGAAAGGCTACAGACTTTTTTAGGTTAATTTTGTAACCTGTCACTTTATTCAGCATGTTAATAATTTCTAGGAGTTTTCTGGTGGAATTTTTGGCCTATCTTAGATACAATATTATATCATCTGAAAAAAGGGATAATTTGATCTGTTCTTTTCCAATTATTACTCCTTTAATTTCCTTATCTTGTCCTATTGCTCTTGCAAGAGTTTCTAGTACTATGTTAAAGAGAAGTGGAGGTAGTGGACAGCCTTGTCTGGTTCCTGATTTCAATGATAATGCTTCCAGTTTTTATCCATATAGAATGATGTTCGCTATGGATTTGTTATATATGGGTTTAATTATGTTGAGGTATGTTCGCTCCAGTCCTTTTCTCTCTAGGACTTTGAACATAAATGCATGTTGAAGTTTGTCAAAGGCCTTCTCTGCATCTATTGAGATGACCATGTGGTTCTTGTCTTTGAGCCCATTTATATGATTTATGATGTTTATTGACTTACGTATATTGAACCATCCCTGCATCTCTGGGATAAAGCCAACTTAATCATGGTGGATGATCTTTTTGATGTGTGTCTTTATGCAGTTTGCAAGTATCTTGTTCAGAATTTTTGCATCTATGTTCATTAAGGATATGGGTCTATAGATTTTTTTTATTTGTATCTTTACTTGGCTTTGGAATTAGAGTGTTGTTGGCTCATTAGAAGGAATTTGGAAGTTCTCCTTTCATTTCTATCTTTTTGAATAAATTAAGTAGTATTGGATGTAGATCTTCTTTAAATGCCTGATAGAATTCTGCTGAAATTCCATCTGGTCCTGGGCTTTTTTGAGTCCAGAGGGTTTGTATTACTGTTTCAATTTCTTTTTGTATTATGGGTCTCTTTAAGATGTTAACCTCTTCTTGGTTTAGTTTTGGTGGTTCCCATGCCTTTAGATATGCGTCCATTTCTGTTAGGTTTTCAAATTTAGTAGCATATAGGTTTTTTAAGTATTCCCTTATAATGCTCTGTATCTTTCTGGTGTCTGTTGTGATGTTTCCCCTTTCTTCTCTGATTTTGTTAATTTGGAGGTGCTCTTTCTTTCTTTTGGTTAATTGGGCTAGCGGTCGGTCAATTTTGTTTATCTTTTCAAAGAACCAGCGCTTGGTATTGTTGATTCTTTGTATTGTTTTCTTTGATTCAATTTCATTGATTTCTGCCCTGAT